CACGCCCAAGACCGGAGGGTTCGGTCGATCCGTGTCGCCGAATAAGATCCCATAGTCAACGTCACCTCGACCTGTTTACAAGAAGGCACCCAAGGCCATGCATGAGCGTAAGCGGGAATTGGAAGAGTTACTGCAGCTGGGAATAAAGATGGATGAAGATCGTGCACAGGGCAGTCAACGTGACGAAGTAGCAAAAGGCCCTGCCCCGGTGGTGAACGCGAGGGCGCCCAAGCCGCCTCCTCCAGGCCTTGGTGAGTCAGGTGCATCAAGCAGTGTTAGCGGCATGAACCCCCCGCCTCCGGTGCCCAAGAAGTTATCGACCCAGTATGTTCCTCCACCGCAGCCTCAAGCCGTTAACCGTACGGACGAGCAGCTTGCGGCATACTCGCGGAACATTGCCAGGGGCATGTACCGCCCACTGTACCACGTCAACGGCCGCATGCCCATGGTGAACGACAGGAGCGAGGACCACGACGTCAACTACAAGGTGGAGCCCGACCCCAGGGAGGTAGTCGCGTTAACGATGAAGACACGCGACAACTGGCGCAGGTTCGAAGGCAACTTCGTCGGACATGTGGCAAAAGAGGGGTTAACGACTCCAGGTGGTCGATCTATCCCAGGCAACACGGGGCGGGAACTCAACGACTACGATGAGGTGTTCGTCGACATTTACGGGCAGCACGCCTACGGCTTCCTTGGTTACTCCGTGTTGAAGGGCCCAAGCAGCTGGAGGTCTCAGTTGACGGAGAAGGAGATGGAAAAGCACGACGAGTGGGTTGACGCGGTCGGGCACGTACAATCCCTGTTCGACGACGAGCACGTGCCGCCGATTCACGTTAACGATCTCCACCCAGTGTGGTTCGACGTTCACAGCTGCCCAGACACACAGGTCTACGTCAACAAGGCACCAGAAATGAACGAGAAACAGCTTAACGGCCTTCTGCTAACGTGGGCCGGGATGCTGCCCCACGGCAACCCCGCCGTGGTCTCCGCTAAGCACCTGGTGGAAGACACTTACGGACCGCACGGCTACATCTCAACTGGGGTTACCGTGATCAGGTTTGCGACGCACGACCTTGCCAAGCTCTATTGCCGTTACATGAACGGGCTCCAGGTGTATTACCGCAACTACTTCATCGAGGATCTCGAGGTCAGGAGCGCCGAGGAGTTAAAGGGCAGCATCAACAAGCCTCCGGTTTACTGGCACCAGACCATCCTGGAAGTCGCTCTTAACGACCAGGGGTCCATGAGGGCGCTCTACCGTGACAACTGGCCTGCCGATCACATCACCGAGCGTAAGAGTGACCACCGCGAGAAGCTCTGTTGGTTTGGGTGGTTGCCGTGTGACGACTTTGCCAACTGGCTTACCGACCCGCACTGGACTGTGAACCCGTTTACCGGAGTTGCGGTCGAGGAGCACCTCCGCAACAATCCAGGTGGTAAACCTCTGCTGAAGGCTCCCCACGCCAGTTACTGGAGGGCCATCGGCACTTACCACAACATTGTTGACGGGTCCACCAAGAGTTTTGACGAGGGGTGCTGGCTGGACGACGAGGAGCGCATTAACGCGTACCTGGACACCGACTATTACAGCCCGACGCAGGCCCTTAACAGGGTGTCGTCCTATACGGCGGCCAGCGTGGGGCACCGTGGTTTACCGAAGTCCAGGGGCGCGCGTGCTCCGTCAGTGAGGCGCCCGCGCCGCTCGTAAACGGTGACAGGTGACCGGCATGTCTTTCTTTTACGCTCGCTCTCATCTCCCCTCTCAACCAGGCTTAACAATAGCGTTGCAGTAGACTATTGAGCTGAATCTATTTGCATGTGCATCTTTTATAGTTACCGCAGGTATTGGCGCATAAAAAGCGAAAGCAATCAACACCATATAAATGCTAGCCTGCCGTGTGAACTTTGGATGCTACGTTTAAACTCGTAACTGATTGAATGTTTACTTGAGCTCACGTTGCATGTCTGAGAGACGTGGTGCTCGTGAACGTTGTTATGAGATATTTCGAATTCGGTGGTGTGACGATACTCACGCAGCCTGTCGCTTGATTTAACCTGTCTTTGTGTTTACAAGCACCTCCCCGTCAGCCAATGCGGACTGGCGTCCGAGGGGGGGGTGGTAACATGTAAGCATGCGTGTGACAGGGGAGGAATAGTAACCCCGCTGCCTTTGGCTCAAGTGTTTAACGGTCGAAGCTACATCGACCAGCTGTGCCGTTCGGGAGTATAAAGGTGACCTATCGTTATCATTGTCGCCAAGCTCCCGTGCAGAACCATCCTCGGGGTTTTGCAGGAGGAGGAGAAGAGGAAAAGAGGAGAACAGGAGAACAGGAGAACAGGAGAAGAGGAAAGAGAAGGAGAAGGGGAGGAGAAGAGGAGGTAAAGAGGAGGAGAACAGGAGGAGGAGGAGGAGGAAAAGGAGAAAGAGGAGAAAGAGGATAATTGGAGAGAAAGAGGTGAAAGAAGATATGGAGGAGGAGGAGGAGGAGGAGGAGGAGGAGGAGGAGCAGCAGGAGGACGAGGACGAGGAGGGAGGAGGAGGGGAGGAGAGGAGGAGGGAGGTGGGGAGGAGGAAGAAAGGAGGGAGGAGGGAGGAAGGAATAGGAGGAAAAAGGAGGAGTGGGAGGAGGAGGAGGAAGGAGGTGAGAGGAGGAGGTGGAGGGGAGGAGAGAGAGGAGGAGGAGGAGGAGGAGAGGAGGAGGAAGGAGGAGGAGGGTGGGGGAGGCCGGGATGGAGGATGGAGGCGAGAGGAGAACGATGACGGAGGAGGTCTGAGAGGACGAGGAGGAGGGAGGAGGAGGAGGACGACGAGGATGAGGAGGAGGAGGGGGAGGAGGAGGGGAGGAAGAATGAGAAGAGGAGGACAGAGTGGAGGAGGTAGGACGAGGACCGAGGACGAGGACGAGGAGAGGAAGTCGAGGGAGGACCGGGCGGACGAGGTAGGACGAGGAGGACGAGGAGGACGGGGGGAGAGGAGGGACGAGGAGGACAAGGAGGACGAGGAGGGACGAAGGAGGACGAGGGGACGAGGTGGACGAGGAGGCGAGGAGGGACGAGAGGACAGTGGAGGACGAGGAGGAGGACGAGGAGGACGAGGGAGAGACGAGGAGGACGAGGAGGCCGAGGAGGAGGAGGATGACGAAGGAGGACGAGTGAGGCGAAGAGGTGGGGGAGGAAGAGGGAGGGAGGAGGAGGAGGAGGAGGAGGAGGTAGGAGAGGGAGGAGGGGGGAGGGAGGTAGGGGATGAGGGAGGAGGGAGAGGGGAGGACGAGGAGGACGAGGAGGACGAGGAGGACGAGGAGGAGGGGGAGGAAGAGGAGGAGGAGGAGGAGGAGGAGGAGGAGGAGGAGGACGAGGACGAGGAGGAGGAGGGAGGAGGAGGAGGAGGAGGAGGAGGGAGAGGGGAGCCGCACCCACTTGCGCGGCGGGCCGTCTGTCTCGGCGCGCCGCCCGAGCGCCCGAGCGGTTCGGCGGCCCCCCGCCTCGCCGCCGCGGGCGCGGCACGCCGTCGCGACACGGCGCCGACCGCCGCCGCCGCGCGGGCGGGCACGGGCCTACGGCCTCAGCCGCCAGCCCACCTCGGCGCAGGCGCGTCGCGGCGCAGGCCGCCTCCGCGCCACGCCAGGGGCCTCTCGCCGCCCAGCGCCCTCCCTCTGCCGCCCAGCAGGCCGAGCGGCCGCAGCAGAGCCCAGGCTGGGCGGCGAGCCGCCCACGAACTTCATGCCGATGTCGGCACCTCGTCCGCTGGGGTCTCCGTGAGGCGCGCCTCCAGCTGGACGGGCTCGCCGATGTAGTGGCCCTTGATCGGGTGCTTCCCCGCCTTCATCCTGTTGAGCCTCGTGCCCGCCGTGGCGTTGGCGATCTTGCCCAAGCACTTCGCCGCCAGCAGGACAGCCGCACCTCCGCTTGCCCTTGCACCGCATGCGCTGCAGAACACCACGTCTCCCATGGTCATCAGCCGGTGCGACGCGTCGGCCGCCAGCACGGCAGCAGGCGTCCCGCGGCACAGCCCCGCCTCCAGCTGGGCTCGGTCCCTGCAGCGGACTCCGCAGCGGTCGCATGCGTAGGGCAGCGCGCTGTCGCCGCCGACCCACTGCGCACGGCGCCGCAGCGGCAGGCCCACCACGCTGCCCTCGTCATCGGGCATGAAGAGCTGAGGCCCCCGCTCACGCTGGAGCCGTGCCGCCACGCGGCGGCTGATGCCGTCCAGGCTGGCAGTCCTGCCATCGGCCTGGCTGCTGCTCGCCTCCAGCGCTGCTTGCCGAGCTTCAGTCTCGCGAGGCCGCTTGTCACCTCCTCGAGCCAGCGAGCCCTTCGCCGTGTAGAGCTGCCGTCGTCGCGGTGCCGCCTGCCTGCGCGGCTGCACCAGCGGCGCGTCGTCGCTGTCCTCGTCGCCGTGGCAGGCCTGGCTGCTGCAGCCCTGGCCGCTCCGCGGGGTGGCCCGCGCTGCCCAGCCGCCCGCCAGGCCGTCGGGGCCACCGCCGCTGGCCTGACTAGCCGTCCCCAGCTGGGTCCCGCGGGGCGCGGCGGGGTCGGCCTCGCCCCTGCTGCCAGCGCTGTCACGCTGGGCCAGGTCCTTGCCGTCGGTCACGCCGTCGGAGCCCCCCGCCAGGCCTGCGCTCCCAGCTGCCGCCGCGAGCGCCGCCGCCGACAGCACCGTGGCCCCGCGCGGAGGCGGCTCGCCTCCGCTGCTGTCGCCGTCCTGGTCGTCGTGCTCCATGCTCAGCCTCGTGGAGGGAGAGGGGAGGACGAGGAGGACGAGGAGGACGAGGAGGACGAGGAGGACGAGGAGGACAAGGAGGACGAGGAGGACGAGGAGGACGAGGAGGACGAGGAGGACGAGGAGGACGAGGAGGACGAGGAGGACGAGGAGGACGAGGAGGACGAGGAGGGAGGAGGGAGGAGGGAGGAGGGAGGAGGGAGGAGGGAGGAGGGAGAAGGGAGAAGGGAGGATGGAGGAGGGAGGAGGGAGGACGGAGGAGGATAGACGTCGCCGTGAGGTGATGAACCTGGACCTCCCCGACGGGCAGTTCGCCGGCCCGCCGCTGCCGAAGCCGCCACCGGCGCACTGGGACCCTCCGCGGGGGGGACGGGGGGTCGCCCGCCCCCTGGGGGTGGCGGGAGAACGGGGGGAGGAATGGAGGAGGATCGGGTATAGCCAGGACCATGGGTAAGGGGACCCGGTTAGTGGTAGGGCCCTGGGGCCCCTCAATTGGCCAGATTCACTAAACAAGGTTTGCCGTAGCTGGTGTTTTTCGGGTGACGGCAGTTCCAGTTTGTGGGGATGGGACGGGGGGGCGCCCCCGGTACAAATCACATAACCAGGTTCCACTAAAAACCCTGTTCTACGCCCGAGAAGGAGGAGGAGAGGAGGAGGAGGAGTGAGGAGAGGAGGAGGAGGAGGAGGAGGGAGGAGAGACGCGGAGGAGGAGGAGGAGGACGGGGGAGGAGGGGGAGGAGGAGGAGGTGGGAGGATAGGAGGGTGGAGGAGGAGGAGGAGGAGAGGAGGAGGAGGAGGAGGAGAGGAGGAGGCGAGGAGGAGGCGGAGGAGGAGGAGAGGAGGAGGAGTAGGTGGAGGGGAGGAGGAGGAGGAGGAGGCGGAGGAGGAGGAGGGTGAGGGAGGGAGGGAGGGAGGGAGGGAGGGAAGGAGGGGAGAGAGGAGGAGGGGGTAAGGAGGAGGAGGAGAGGAGGAGGAGGAGGGGGGGAGGAAGAGAGAGGGGGGAGGGAGGGAGGAGGAGGAGGAGGAGGAGGAGGAGGGGAGGGTGGAGGAGGATAACGAACGGAGCAGGAGGATGGGAGGAGGAGGAGGAGGAGGAGGAGGAGGAGGAGGGGAGGAGGGGAGGAGGAGGTGGAGAGAGAAAGAGAAAGGGAGGGTTCGGAGTGAGGGAGCAGGCAGGAGGCAGGAGGAGGAGGTGGACCAGCAGCAGGAACAGCAGAGCAAGGAGGAAGGAGGAGGAGGAGGAGGACGCGGAGGGGGAAGAGTGAGGAGGAGGAGGAGGAGGAGGAGGAGGGATTAAGGGGGAGTGAGGAGGAGGAGGAGGAGGAGGAGGAAGAGAGGAGGAGGAGGACCGGTGTAAACCCAAGAGCCATCAACGATGTTGGAATACACCTTCCCTCCAAGCTCCCTCTTCATAGGCTCCAAGCTCCCTCTTCATAGGCCCCTACAACGGTTCGTTTCCATTGGGGGAACTGCTTCGTTGGAAGACAACCGTTTGAAGACCCTGAAGTCTGCCAAAACATTGTTCTCGGGATTCCAAAGCCACTGATCAACCTGACTGTTGCTCTTTGACGGTCCTGGATCGTGCCAGAACGCCACTCTCGGGATTTCAACACCGCGAATTAACATAATTGTCGCACCCGCAAAGTCCTGAGTCCTTCCAAAGCACAATTTTTGGTACGTTGGTCATGGGAGTCCGCGAAACTTTTGCTAGTTTTCAGAACGAATGTGCGCGGCGCTAAGGCGAGAGCCACTGTTTGAAAAGGAACCGCCCTCGATTCGCAAAACTCTTGCAACTCTGGCGAATGTGCGCGGCGCTAAGGCGAGAGCCGCATTTTGAAAACGGGTGATCCTCACTTTGCGAAATTCTTGCAAAGCCACATGCTGAAAACCACCCGCCCTCGATCTGCGGAACCGTTGCAATTTTGTAAAACGAATGCACGCGGCGCTAAGGCGAGAGCCACATGTTGAAAACCACCCGCCCTCCATCTGCGGAGCTGTTACCAATGTTTAAGTTTCAGAGTCATAAATGGTGAGGAAGTCTCAGGCAAAACGCCCGGCCCGTCCCCAAAACTGGCTTCGGGGTGCGACAAGGAGAAGTTATTGATTTAATCGCTTCGCTCATTCCGCCGGCCCATGTAGCCTCATCTCTGCTGTTTGCCCGAGGGATCGTTGTCAATGCTTGGGGGCTGTTTGGGGGGCCCTGGGGGCTTGTTTTTGGGCATTCTGGGCGTTTCTTGGGGCCGTTCGGGGGCTTCTTGGGGTTTGTTGGTGGTCTCGGAGGTGTTCTTTAGGGCGGAAAGCTCGAAATGCCTTCGTGGGGGTGTGCTGGTCGTGGATGCTCACTCTGGGGCTTGTCGATGGGGGGAAGGGGACATCTGATGCGATTATGGAACCATCGTGTCATCTCGAGATGGTGATGAGACATCTGATGCGATGATGATGCCTCTTGCAACATATAAGATCGTATAGCTGTTGCCGGAGATCTCAGGACTGTTCTGGTTCGTTGGGCCGGCGAATGTTTTCTCCCAGCATGTTGGCTACAAAGTTTGGCAGCAAAGAGCCGTCAGCAAATTTTCCCATCCACTCGCATATTCACATGTTGCATCCCTGCCATTGAGCTTGTTGTGACATCCAGCTTGTTGTGACGTTCAGCGGACAGCATGGTCAAGGGCGGCCATGGGCCGAGTCCAAACCACCTTTGTCGCGGTAAGGCTGCATCGTTTCAAACGCAAGTTGTGCGTTGCCTTGGAGAGAAATTCGAGGGGATGAGGAGGACGTGGTGGAGGAGGAGGAGGAGGAGGAGGAGGAGGAGGAGGAGGAGGAGGAGGGAGGAGGAGGAGGAGGAGGAGGTAGAGGAGGATGAGGAGGAGGAGGAGGAAGGGAGGAGGAGGAGGAGGATGAGGAGGAGGAGAGAGGAGGAGGAGGAGGAGGAGGAGGGAGGGGAGGACGGTGGAGGTTGTAGGCGAGAGGAGAAGATGAGGAGGGAGGTGGAGGAGGACGTGGATGGAGGGAGGAGGGTGGGAGGGATGTGAGGAGGAGGAGGAGGTTGGTGGAGGAGGAGGAGGAGGAGGAGGAGAGGAGGGCAGGGAGAAGAGGAGGAGGGAGGAGGGTGGAGGAGGAGGAGGAGGAGGAGAAAGAGGAGGATGATGATGATCGCTGGCACTTGCTTGGGTGATGGGGGGGCATTCGGGGGGCTTCCTGGGATCGCTAGGGGGCCTCTAGGGGGCCTCTTGAAGGCTTCCCGAAGGCCTGTTGGGGGCCTCTGGGGGGCCTGTTGGGGGCCTCTTGGGGCCTCCTGGGGGCCTCTTAGGGCTGGATGCTCGAAATGTTTTTTTCGTGTTTCCCTCTCTGGGACCCCTGCATCCTTTCAAACGCAGAGTGTGTACTGTGTCGAAGAGAAATTTGAGGGGATGAGGAGGAGGTGGAGGAGGAGGAGGGAGGAGGAGGGAGGAGGAGGATGAGGTGTACGGAGAAGGAGAGGAGGGGAGGAGGAGGAGGAGGAGGAGGAGGAGGGAGGGCTAGGGAGGAGGAGTAAGGTGGGAGGAGGAGGAGGAGGGAGGAGGGAGGAGAAAGGAGGAAGGATGGAGGAGGGAGGAGGGAGGACGAGGAGGGGAAGGAGGAGGAGGAGGAGGAGGAGGAGGAGGAGGAGGAGGATCGCTGGCTGGTTGAGTGCTCGGGGGGCATTTGGGGTGCCTCCTGAGGGCGCTTGGGGGCCTCTAGAGGGCCTCTTGGGGACTTCCTGAGGGCGTCTTGGGGGCGTCTTGGGGCCTCTTGGGGGCCTCTTGGGACTTCCTGGGGGCCTCTGAGGGCCGAGAGTTCGAGATTTTGTTTCGCGTTCCCTTTCAGGGGCCCGTCATGAGGCATTATTGGGGCCCTCTTGGGCCGTCTTGGGGGCTTCTTGGGCCGTTTTGGAGCCGTCTTGGGCCGTCTTGGGGCCCTCTTGGGGGCCTCTTGGGCCCTCTTGGGGCGGTCTTGGGGGCCTCTTGAGCCGTCTAGGGGCGTCGGGAAGCCGAAAAGGTGGAAACGCCCAAATCTGTCCCAAACCGAAGGGAAAGCAATGAATTTTGCTTCTGCGAGTTCTCTTGGGAGTGCTCCTGGAGGCCTCTTGGGGCATCTTGGAGGCCTCTAGGGCCATTTTGGAGGCCTCTTGGGCCATCTGGATGCCAGCTTGGGCGTCGTGGAGCGATCTTCGGGCGTCTCGGGCCTCTCTAGGAGGGTGCCTCTTGGGGCCCTCTTGGGGCGATCCTGAGAGCCCTGGGGGAGTCTCCCGGGCCGCGCCCGGGCCGCGCCCGGGGTACTTTTGGTCCGGGGACCCCCAGGGGCCGCCCCTCGCGCGCGAAGTAGAAATAGTATATAGATGTTACCGGAGATCTTACCACGCCTCTGGCCCGTTGGGCCGGCGAATTATTGGGAAAAGGAACGATGGAGGAGGAGGAGGAGGAGGAGGAGGAGGAGGAGGTGGAGGAGGCGGAGGAGGAGAGGAACCGAGGGGAGGAGAAGGAGGAAGAGGAGGAGGTGGAGGGAGGAGGCGGAGGAGGAGGAGGAGGAGGAGGAGAGAGGAGGAGGGGAGGGGAAGGATGGAGGAGGGAGGAGGAGGAGGAGGAGGCGAAGGAGGAGGGAGGTTGATGCAACGCGGGCATGAGGGAGGCTCCCTGTGCTCAGTACGAGAGGCTCTAAGCTCTGGACAAGAGAGGAAGAGCACAAAAAAAGAGGGAGGGAAGCACGGGGGCGCCTAGCCCTGGATGACAGTCCAAGCCTGTAAGTTCCTCCGTGCCGCCTCGACCTGTCGGGGCGATGGTGCCTGCGGCTGCGTTGGGAAGAGGAAGTTGCGGGGCGGGTCCTGCTGGGCCCACGGAGCAACGCGAGCATGTCGCCTTTCAGCCCGAATTCGCCGAGCTGCAGCACGATTGGCCTCAATCCTGGCCCTTTGGGAGGCGGAGAGGGGAAGGGGAGCAGGGGGCGGAGGCAGGGGCGGAGGCGGGGGAGGGGAAGGAAGAAAGGGCCAGGACGCAGCTTGCTCCTCAGGGGAGCCAAGCAGAAAATCTGCTACTCGCTGCTCATCAGGATCCTGTTCGGAATGACCCTGGGCATGCGGGGGAGAATCCGAAGCCTCTGGCCCTTCAGAGTCAGAAGAGTCGAAACGTGAAAGCTCTGGGTCGGTGCGCCTAGACACCCGGCCCGCCCTGCCTTGGACTCCTGCAAAATCGGGGGCAGGGGCTGGGGGTTCTGGCGCATCTCGCTGCATGGCAGCGTAGAAGGTGATGAGCCCGTCACGAATTTCATCACAATCCTGAGAGTACTGAATCACTGGCTCCTCGCACGAGGAGTCTATTAGAGTGCATACGCTGGCCACAATACTTTCAGCCAGAGCCTTACAAAGGCCACCAGGGTAGGCCTTCTTAGAGGCCGTATGGAAAACTCCGTCATCCCGCTTGCCGAGCAGAGTCCTGTGAACACCTCTGTCATGCGAGCACCTCCCGTTGCCAGGAGTGGAACGCAATCTGGACGGTAAACAAGGCATGCGCACAGACAATATACAGGTGGGAGCCCGTCCGAATGTAGTGGGGCAGGCGGTGGGGTCTTGATGCTCACACTGGTCAAATTCAGTGAGATTAGAACACGGGGCAGCGGCAAGGGCCTGCATGGGGCGCCACCTGAAAGACGTGGGAGCCCCAGGAGCCCAGAGAGCGGGGGTCGGGTGCTCAAGCCAGCCTCCAGTGCCAGCTCTGAGGTGCTCAGCTAGAAGCCTAACTAAAGCAAATAACAACACTGAGCCTATCCTAACCTGCTCAGACTGTCTCCACGAAATCCAAGGCATACCCCAGACATGTTCCATAGACCTGAGGGGGGGAGGCCCGCCTTCAGTCCACCTGGCAGCAGACCAGGTTTCGCAAGGCGGACCTCCCCCCGAGCTAATAACTCTGTGAGAGTGGAGTGGAGTGGAGTGGACGCCATCACGATGTGATATTCTGGGACCGCGGGGGGCCTGGAGTCCACCTGAGGACCCCAGGACCCCCCGACCGCGCTGCGCTCGAAGAGGACCGCCTCCGCGAAGGCCAACGAGGACGCGTCGACGAAGGCGAAAAATTCTCCCAGCACACCGCGGCGTCTGACGCATTCACGTAGCGCAGACCACTATTCAACTCTGGTTGCGATCGGCCGACGCCTCCGCTGGTGCTGTCTGCGCGGCCACGGCCGCCTCGGAGGGGGCCGCGATGGCGCTCCAGTCGATGGGCGGCCCCGTGGCGACTGCAGAACGTGGTGTGGGACATCTCAGGGCGTCGGCGTCGCGGAGGAGCCGCGCCCTTGCAGTGCTGAGCTCCCATCCTGCAACAGCTGCAGCCTGATCACCCCTCAGCTCGCCGACGATCTCCACGGCGGGCTCGGAATCACGACGAGGCGCAGCTGCTCCTCGATCATCGCCTGCATCTTGGACAAGCCATGTGTTGGCAATGGCTTGACGGGCCTGCCACCACTCAGCACCACGTACAAGACCAGGGCGTACACCAGGATCAGGGACGCAAGATGCACGAACGTCGAGGGGAATATCAACCTGACGACGGTGAAGATGCACGTCACCGCGCTCAGCAAGCTCGGCGAAACCATCATCTTGACCGTCTTCGTGGTAAGAAGGGGAGCCGGCGGCGGAGTCGCCGAAGAGGGTCGCGCCGCATGTGCAGAGCCAGCCCAGCGCCGTCGGCGGGGGGAGGACCTCCCAGCGGCCCAAACCAGGGCAGAAAGGCGGGGCGTCAGCTCGAAGGGACGGCTGAGTGACGACGTCCGTCGAGCCGAGCCGCTGCCCGCGCTGCGCCCGCCGCCAGCTCGCCAGCGGTGCCGAGGCGGGCGGGCACTCCAGCGAATGCAGCGCCACGTTCCTGCGTAGGCGAGCTCCATGGGGTACGCTGCCGCCCTGAAGTCGTGCGACCAACGCCGGTCGAGCAATCGCCTCACGGCGCTCCACCTCGGCGGCCACCGTCGATCCGGAGCCCGCACGCACCGCCAGCTCCGCTTCCAGGGCCGCGCACCGCTGCTTTGCCTCGACCAGCTCGCGGCTGAGCCGAGACACGAGGCGGTCTGCCGCCACACGGGCACCCGCCGCGCCGCGCAGGACCGCCTCTCCCGTAGCCATCCTCCTGTCGTGCCAGCTTCGGAAAAGCCAGCCAGCGCCCAGCCGCGTTGAACAGGATGAAGGTGAATCGAAAAGGGGCTCTGCCGGATTGGCACGGGCTTCGGCCAGCAAAAATGGTATTTTTTTTTAGTACGGTTTTTTTTTTTTTTTTTTTTTGTTTTTTTTTTTAATTTTTTATTTATTTTTTTTTCTTTTTTTTTTTTTTTATTTTTTTTTGTTATTTTTTTTTTTTATTTTTATTTTTTTTATTTTTTTTTTTTTTTTACTAGTTTTTTTTCTTTTTTTTTTGTTTTTTTTACGGACAAATAACTCTGTGAGAGGAGGGAGGAGGGAGGAGGGAGGAGGGAGGAGGGAGGAGGCCAAGCTCGATGTGGCCACCGTCGATCACAACACTGGGCGCCACATCTACGTGGACTGGGCCGTGACCTGCGCACATTCCACCCTATGCCCCGCGCAGGCAGGCCCGTTGCAACAGGAGTGGCCTCGCGGCATCCCAGAAGGTCGACGAAAAAAGGGCGCGGTACCCCCCAAGGCAGGGCCTCGACCTGATCCCCATGGTCTTCGAGGCTGGGGGGCGCCCCTCCGAGGAGGCGGTTGCTTTCGTGCGCAGCTACGGCGCCGACCTCGAGGAGGCGGAGCGAGGGGAACTCCTCGGCCGCCTGTGGCGAAACATTTCGGTGACCCTGCACACGGGTAGCGCCGAGATGGTCCTCAGCGCCCTGGGACAGTAAACCATTGCTGGGCCGCTGCTGCGGTGCGCTAAGGCTCTTTCTCCTAAGCCCCCGCGACAATGGCCATCGCCAGCTCGACACCGCCGCGGCAACCACCAGCCCTACGACCAGGACAAGGACCAGACCAAGACACGGTGGCCTCCACCAACCACCGCGACCACCGCAACCGCCAGCACGACGACGTCCGCCCCTAGCCCTTCCAACGCCCACACCCCCGCGACGTCGACGCCGACGCCCCCCCACGACCTCTTCGACGACCCCAACCGCCCCCCGTCCCCTGGTCTTCCTCTTCTCTTCTCCCGCCGGGCCGCCCCTGCCGCAGCTCCTCCTCCTCCTCCTCCTCCTCCTCCTCCTCCTCCTCCTCCTCCTCCTCCTCCTCCTCCTCCTCCTCCTCCTCTAGTGTTGTGTTGGATTTTCCCTTGCCCGGCCTAGGCTTAATTAGCGATGAAGCCCCCTTGCGTCCCCACGGGTCCCATTGGTGAAGGGGGAGGGGGACCAACTCTGGCGCCCGTGGTTCTCTTTCCGCAGGGAGGGAGGAGCGAGGAAAAAAGAGGGAGGAGGAGGAGGAGGAGGAGGAGGAGGAGGAGCAAGAGCAGGAGGAGGAGGAGGAGGAGGGGGAGGAGCAGGAGGAGGGGCAGCCGCGTTCGAAGCGAGCTCTGAGGTCGACAGCGACAACAGGGGGAGGAGGTCCGGGAGGAGGGGAAGGAGGAGAAGCAACAAGAGCATCGAGCCTTTCCGACGCGTTTTGCCTTGTTTGAGTTTGAACGCTGCAGGGGGCCTCTGAGACCGAGAACCCAGACCTCTGGCGATTCAAAGACATTGCGCCAGGCTTTCGCCACTCTCTGCGTCCAGAAGCCGCTTCCAGGGCCCAGGGCCCTCAGAGTTCGATTCGAGCTGAGAATCGGTCGTCAGGAAGGGCTCGAGAAGTTCGGGGGCGCGCATGTTGAAATCATGAAGTCGGCGGTCTGGCAAGGGAAGCCGCCAGCGCGCAGACCTTTTCTGTGGTGGTGTCGGCTGCCTCCTCTGAGCTCATCAGGGAAGGTCGGGGCGATCGAAAATGGTGCGGCGAGAAAGGGTACAATGCCCAACAGCAGTTCCTGTTCATTTTGAACAGGACTCACAATCCGCGCCGCCGCGGAAGTTGTTCACTGAAGACAGAGAGCCGCTTGCGCAACAGCGGCCGCTGTCGGTTCTGGACGACGTGTGCTGTTTGGCATTGTACCCGTCTCTTCCGTACCCGCTTCGGGCGGCAAAAGAAAGGGGCCTCGCCGCCACGGCCGGGATTCGTTTCGAAAGTTTGGCCAGCGCGCGCCACGGGACAAGAGGTCCACGGGCGGACCCGGGCGCTGCGCAGCAGCCGCGGCGGGCGGCGTTTGTGCCCAGGCGTTGCGACGTCCAGGGCCCGCTCTCGGGCCCCGGCGCCCGCAGAATCTCGTCCACGGCGCCCAGGGATCGCGTCGACTGCCAGCTTGAGACAGATCCCTGATCTGAGCCTCCTCCTCCTGACTCCTCCTCCTGCCTCCTCCTCCTCCTCCTCCTCCTCCTCCTCCTCATCCTCCTCCTCCTCCTCCTCTCCTCCTCCTCCTCCTCTCCTCCTCCTCCTTCCTCCCCCCCCCTCCTCCCCCTCCTCCTCCTCCTCCTCCTCCTCCTCCTCCTCCTCCTCCTCCTCCTCCTGCTCCTGCTCCTCCCCCTCCTCCTCCCGACCTTCTCTCGGTGCCGATCTGAGCGGTTCCCTCCGCTTCTGAGGGCACGTCCCTGAGATTGTCATCGTGTTGGGCCTGCCGATCTCAGGAATGGGGAGAGGCTCGAGTCTGGTCAGTCGACGCGTCCGCGGCCCACGGCGTGAGGACGTCAGGACGTCGGAGGCTCCGACTTTTGGGCGGTGAGAGGGCCGCCACCCGCGAGGGGAGATCCGCCTGTTCCAGGCAGCGCGTCCTGCACACTCTTCGGCGGTCGCGGCCTCGCGCGCAGCGACGAGGCGGAGTAAGTCAAAGAGCAGCGGGAGCGGGCGCGCGCGGCCGGGCCTGCGGGCAGTGCCTCCTACCTCCCCGCCATCCTCGCCCGGATGGCTATGGCCGCCGTTCCCCAAGGTGGCGCGCGTCCTACGCACTGGTGCGCCCTGTCGCGTCCCGCTGAATCCAAGAGGTCTGCGCATTCTGATGGCGGCCTTAGCGGTCGCCTCGGTTGTCGGCACTTCAAGGAGGGACGACGACTGGAAGAGGAGGCGCAACAAGCTTGCATCTTGCATCTGCTCCCCCCACCCCCACCCCAAGGACTGACAAGGCGCCACGCAGCGGCTGGGCAGATAGCCTGGCGGGGCCGCCCATGGACTCGGCTCGGGCAGAACTCCGAATCATCCTCCTGGCCTGCTCCATCCTTCCTCCTCCTTTTCCTGTTCCTGTTCCTGTTCCTTTTCCTCCTCCTCCTCCTCCTCCTCCTCCTCCTCCTCCTCCTCCTCCTCCTCCTCCTCCTCCTCCCCCCCGCAGCCGTTTTGGCTCAAGATGACTTTCCCCTCGGGGCAGAAAACGGGCACCTCTGCCCCGAGGCCAGACCCAGCTGTCTTCTGGCATTGGCGGTCGAGCTGCGCGCTGCCGTGCAAGAGCCTCTGTCTCTTGTTTTTTTGTTTGCGAGCTCCTGCTGGAGCACCCGCACCGTATCCCAAAACCAAGCAAGGATGCCGCCAGGTTCTGCGCGCGATAGCGGGAGGCCCCCGCAGTCCCCAGCCCAGGCACACCGCAGTCGCAGTGACGATCGCGGTGATCGGCGCGGCCCTCCAGGCCATTTCGCTGACAGGTGGGAGGAGTGGACTCCCAACACGTTCCCCACGCAAGAGCGAGACTCAAGCCATGATCGTGACCCACGGCATCGTAGAAGAGGGCGCTACGAGGACTCACGCTGGTCGGGCGCAGTCCAAGAAGTTGCCGCTTGTCCTCAGCCTCTCCCCCCCGTGATGGTGTCCAACAAGCTCATCCTGTTGCACTTGCTGGATCAGAAGCACATTCTGCCCCAGTGCATGGTGCACTCTCTGGGGCTGGGAGCGGAGGGATTCAGCCCCTCGAAGTCACAGCTCCCAACCCCCATGCTCGCGCTCAACAGCCTCCGCAGTCCTTCCCCGACGCGACCCTGAAGCAGAGGATCGCGGCCTCCATCGGCAACCAGTTCAGCCACATCCTGGGGGAGCTCCAGAACTTCATCGGCGCCACCGTGACCAATACCATGGCCAACATCCAGCATCCAGCACGACCTGGCAGGCGTTGTGCAGGTCCATCTGGCTCTCACCATTGCCCGAGTCTCTGCGGCTGAGGCGGACCTGCGTGGCGTTCAGGACCGTGCGAGCAGCCTCGAGCAGGAGCAGCATAATCTCAAACGCGAAGTCCAACGCATGCAGGAGACGCTGGCGCTTGCAGAGTCAGCGGCCACATCGGAAAAGCGTCGACGCCGCCAGGCTGGCGACATGGGACAGGGAGACCAACCCCCGCCTCTTCAGCATCAACACAGGGACCGAGGTCACCAAGACGGCGCTGCTCGAGGGGTTGGCAGAGCTGTTTGACCTTGCGAAGGCCAAAGCAGACAAGATCGAGATCGTGGTTCCTGACGTTCCAGGCAAGAAGTTCGCGCTGCACTGTCCAGGAGGTGAAGCTTGCACTCTCAGGGCCCAGGCGTTGGTTCGTGCGCAACGTGACGCCACAGGCAGATGGAGGAAATGCAGTGCCATCAGTGTCGACGGCTACGAGACTAACCTATACATCGGGCCAGATCGCAATCCAAAGCAGATACGCCGAGAGGTTCAGACAGAGAAATTATAACAATTGCTTCAACGTGCTTCTCCCGACGGTGATTGGTGGTCAAAACGCCCACAAAGGTCCGTGGATTGAGGCCACCTCCCGCTGGTGGAAGCGGTCCCTGGCGCCGCCCTAAACGGCCCGTCCGAGCTCGCGCGGGGCCCAGCGGCGCTCGCGCGGTATGCCATCGACAAGGATGGGATCACCCAGGCGTTCCACCAGCTTTTCTGGGAAGTGGATACGTCGAGCTGCTCTCGCTCCTGACACACGGTGGCGACCATGGGACTTGGAGTCAGATGGGAGGGAGCTCAAGGTGGCCCCATGGGACGCAGCCGCGCTTCTTTGTCGGGACGAGCGGAGGCGCAGAATCAAGACGGCAAAAGTAATTGACCAGCTCAGACTAGGAGCCACTGCTTGCTTGCAGGAGGCCCATGGCACACACAAGGCCTTGGAGAACCTTCTGTGGCAATATCATATTGAGTTCAAGCTCTTCACTTCCATGTGTGACACTGAGGGTGCTGGGGAAGTTGCGATCATTGTGCCGTGGCACTCTCAAGCCACGCTAGATCAGCACGATCCACATGCCTGGCCCCAGTTTGTCCCTCACACGTTGGTCAGAGGTCGTATCCTGCCCCTCGGTATCTACAACCCTGCCACTGCCGAGGCCATCAGGATCATCAATGTGCACAACTACAGCCTGCAGCCCGCGGACCGCACGGCTGTGGGAAGCGCATGGCACAGCTACGCTCGATGGGCTCGTGAAGACCATTCTAGGGCGATTCGAATGTTTCACGCAATCCCAATGACTCGCTTCTTCTCCCCGAGCCCCGACAGGCGCGTTCGTCGCAGGCCGGCAGGGCTGCTCACCATGAGGTTTTCTGGAGAAGTTTCTTTGGTGGCCATATGACTGAAGCGACCACTGACCTCCCCGCCCATTTATCTCGTTCCACCTCCTCCTTTTCCTCGATTGACCGTGCCTTTGTTTCCCTCTCCCTTCATTTTCTTCTCGAGAGAACTTTCAGACCTATCACGCCAGTGATCGCGCGATCCTCCATCTGTCTATGAAGCCTCGCTCTGCCACCCCCATGGATCAACGGAGAATCCCTCCGTTTCATTTCAGACGCCGCAGGTTCTCTGAGATCCTGAGCAACTGTCTAGTCGGCTGCGATCTCGACTCCCGCCCCCCCCCACCCGAGGCTCGGTTTCCGTTCTGAGAAACGACGATCGCGGCCGCGACAGCCACCAGGCGCGGGCTTCAAAAGTATCCTAAGGGGGCGGGCGGAGACGCTAATTCTGAGGTTCGTTGCCTAGGTGTCCGGCCCATTGCCACAGCGATCCGGCGACAGGACGTCCGCGCGGCATCGCGCATCCAGCAGACCTCGAGCTATGGCCAGAAATGCATCCGCGAAGCAGGCAAGATAATTATCCTGCAAGAAGAGGAAAGCTTATGCGCTGAAGTTATCTTGCAACATACCCGTCGGCACGATGTTTTTCAGTCGGAGGCAGCTAGCAGAGCGAGAGCGCGACCTCAGGAGGTCCAGCACTGGGGTAGGATCCAGGCTACCTCTCTAAGAAGGGCCCCCCTCTGGCGGCCACGGCAAAGACGCCCGGCGCTGAAAGGGGCCAGGGTCTCTCAGACAGGTCGCCAGACAGAGGATGTAGTCCGAGGGCCCGCCCCCGTCGCCGAAGCGCTCAAAAATCTGTGGCAACCGATCTTTTCTGAGGCGCCTGGACCAGAGGGAGCGGTCGCGGCCTCCCTGGGCCAGAACCTGCCCAGTCTTCCCGCCCACCCTTTTCGCTCCCACTCCCTCGAAGACCTCCAGAGTTGTCTGCGTCGATCTGAGATTCTGCCCCAGGCCCAGACAGGCTGACGTATGCTGCGTGGAAAGGCCACCTGGCCTGTCTCCAAGTCCTCTACCGTCTCCTCCTCTACCTCATAGGTGGCCATTGCCCGCCAGATGGTTTGAATCGCAGCTTGCTGGCCTTTCTTCCCAAGGGAGAAGAAACCCGAGACGCGATCGACTGCGCCGGGGACCCAGGATGCACCCGCCCATCGTCGCTCAAGAAATCGGATCGGAAGTTGCTGGCATCGGCTTTAAATTGGCACTTGCAGCATTGCGTAGCTAGCAGGACTCACGAGACAGGGCTTTGTAAAAAGTCGCAACCTAGGACACAGCACCCTCAGGATGGACACTGCAGCCAGAAGAGTAGGAGTAGTTTATGCCAGTACTGTTCCACGGTTTCCTAGCTTTGATATTGAGGCCGCATTTCCAAGCATGAGCCAGACGTGGCTAAGAATGAATCTGGAAAGATGCGGCCTGCCTCTCAGCTTCCTCTGGGCCATCCAGTCCCTCTCAACGGGTGCCCTTGCCCACCTCGCGGTTGGCTCGGAAATTGCGCCCCTGTTCGAAATATCACTGCAGGAGTGCCCCAAGGTTGCCCCCTCTCGGGTTCCCTCTGGACCTTGGGCTTTGATCCCCTCCTCCGTCTCCTCTCCTCCTACTACCCTGACGGGGAGACGGCGACCCTGGGGGCCTGTGCGGATGATGTAGGGGTGGTCGTCACGGATATTGCCATGTTGCCACCATTGCGCAATGCCTTCCAGCCGGCGGATCGCCTCGCTGGCCTCACCCTACAAGCCTCTAAATGTGTGGTGGCCCTTTGGGCAGCCGAATGCACTGACGAAGTGAAAAAGCAAAGTTGCTGTCAAAATATTGCCCATTGTTCCTCCCTCATCAAAATCGCAGGTTGGGCCAAGTAACTAGGAGTGAAGATAGGCCCAGCTGCCGCACTTTCAGACCAGTGGCGCGAAGCTGGCCAGAAGTGGTGGTCGCGAGTGATTGAGACGGCCTGGTCTAGATCACCCTCAGAAGCGTCCATCAGACTGCGCGAATGCATGCGTCTCTCTGTCCTAGGATATCTGGCCCAGTTGTTCTCCTGCGCGCGAAGAGCTCAGGATAAAAGAATACGTTTGCAATGCGCGAGCTTCTCAGATTGTCGCCCAGCTCGTTATCTCTGCATGATTTCTTCGGATTGCGCCAACGGCTTCGCTCGGCCACGCCAACCAGCATCCAAGTACATACGGCAGCTAATGCGTGGAGAGCGAGCACGCTCACCCTTCGGGACTGGGGGGGTGGCACGACTGGTGGTGGGAGGGCGCGGACGTCTACGCCTATCACATGAGGGTCAGACGAGGGCTTTGTTCGGCAGAATGCTGGACCTACCCTCATGGCGTTCTTCATGATTGCCGCTCTTTTGCCCATCCCTCTCCCTGCGTCCCTTCTCTCTCTCTCTCTCGCGCCTTCCCTCCACGTTCCCTCTGCCTCGCCATGGCCGCGGCGAGAGAAGCAGCCAACCTCGACCAGCAGCTGCCAGGGGCCCCGCTCCGACGGCCGGCGGACATTGTTGTGGTGGGGGTGGTGGTGGCGGAGCTCTGGGTCGTCGCCGTCGCGGTCGCAGGAAAGTCAAACGTACGCACGTTGTCTTCGTTAACACGTTAATGGCAATTTTGTTCCCAGACCGCCTCGCGGAACCCATCCGTCGTAGGTTTCTGACCTGGTGCGCACCAGACCCTGTCCCAGCCCTCCCTGAGATCCAGGCTCGTTGGGAGAGGATCCGAGGCGTGCTGGCACGATCCCAACCATGCAAGGTGTGGGCCCACCTCAAGACCCTTGCGGGAGGTTCGACCACCAGCCACAGGGTGAAGGTCCTGTTCCCCCTTTCCCTGCCATTTCGGCTGTCCCGGTTGTCCCTGCCATTTCGGCTGTCCCGCCTGTCCCTGAGCAGCTGATCGCATACGCGCTACCCACTCGAACCCGCGACGATGCGCGCACCCTCTTCGACAGCGCACGGGCGCTCGCCCAAGGCTTGCGAAAACCACCCCCCCGCTGGTGCAAGCGAAGGCCACACGGCCCTCTCCTCCTCCTCCTCCTCCTCCTCCTCCTCCTCCTCCTCCTCCTCCTCCTCCTCCTCCTCCTCCTCAATGGTGTGGTTACGCCAGGGTGTGGTTTGCGATCTTCGTCGTTGGGGCTTGGGGAGGCACCGCGTTGCCCTCGTTGGCCCCTTCGCGGGGAACGGCGGAGAGCTCTGTCGAGGTTCCCACCCGCTCCTCAGGGTGCGGGCTGCAAACCACACCCTTTGCAAACCACACCCTTCGGAGTCGCCGATCCCTGCCCGCTCCGCCAGGACGCCCGAGCCGCCATCGCTCCGCAGCCAGCCCCGGCGCGGTCCGCGGACAGAATCAGTGAGGGCGCTTGCGGAGCAAGCCAGGCTGTTGCTGCGGAAGGTTCGCGTCGTGTCGACCAGCGGCGATCCCGCTGGCGACGTTCAACGTGGAGCGCCGCCAGCGGCCCAGAATCGGTCGATGTTGAATGATCTGACGTTTCAGAAGCGGCCGTGCACGGTGCAACGATCCCCCGCGGTGTCAGAGACCATTGCCGAAGTCGACACGACACGAGCTTGCCGTAAGCTGTTGGCGCCCGAGCTTTTGGCGAGGTCGCCCCATCCAGCGCATTGGGCGCGGATGCGTTCCCTCGCTTCGCGGCGGCACGCACGGGTTGTGGAAAGGCTGGGGGCGAGATGGTCTTCCGGAGGGACGCCAGGGAGGATCCCAGGCCCACTGTTTCCCGAGAGTTTTCTCTTGGCCTCGGATATATGTTTTATGTTACGCGTGTTGTTGACCATGTTCTCCGTGTTTGCATATTTTGTGGAATGGCACGAAATCGAATTGCATATAGCCACCCGTTTGAATCCCCTTTTCGGACCCCCTTTTTTTCACCTCCTCCAGTCCCGCCTCCGCCGTCCTACTCTTCCTGCCCTCGCCGATGTCGGCACGCCCTGCACAGGATGTGCCCCAAAGTGGCCTCCACCACTGGCCCCCGCGAGGGTGCCCCACATGGAGCTCCACCTGTGCCCCCGGTGGGGAAGCCCGCATGCGGTCCCTCGCCCCGTGGCGCGACTCCTGCGTTGCTCGTGCCCATCGCGCTTTCCGAGATTTGGGCGCACCCCCGTTTCTTCCGCACTTCACCTCTGGTCCATCCCTCCCGCGGCTAATAGTCTAGAAGGGGAGGACCACCCGTAGCGATGCGCACAGTCGCATCAGGTTTGGGTCTTACGTCAGATTGTTTGGCTTCTGCGCAATTCGGGCCCAGGGGTTTGCGCTACCCCCGTTGAAGGATGTCTGTCGTAGCAGCACGATGCCGATCCACAGCGCTACAGCCCGCTAGCATGTTTGAGCTTCACTTGGCAATCCGGAAATCTGAACGGAAGAAGGTTGACGGGTACAATGGCAATTGTATGTGTTATTCGGGGTGTGTTGTTCGATTTGCTTTGGAAGAGACGGTCGGTCCAATGGCTTCCACCCAGCCTTGACGAAAACAACCACCATCCGCACAGCTCACCTCACCCTATGGACCAGACTATGCCCCGAAATATTCAAGTCCGCGCAATCGCATCCCAGCCTTCCTTGAGCGATCTGATGTGCGATTTGGTGCGAACCCGTTTCGAGAGGCCGATACACCGCGGCCGAGTGGCTCCCGCGGAAGGGGCGGCGGATTTTGTACGACGCTCGAACTCGTCGTTGTTGCACCCTTCCCGCAAACGGTGGTGTTGGCTGCATAAACCGAGGCAAACTGCAGTTTCCCCTTTGCCAGACATCCAAAAACATCGGTGCCACCGCGCCCGCGACATTCATTGCTCAGAGTCGGGAAGATGGAATTGGTGCCCTTGTTGGAAAAGATCACGAACTGATTTCCACGGCGTGGACTGTGGGCTATCATTCCAGAGTGTTGCTTGCCAATAAATAGTTGTATTGATACCAGTCTCCGGATTCCACATTTCCATGGACCACACTCCTAATCCCATGCTTACCCATACTCACACCCATGTTGATATTCTTACGCCCGCTCCTTGCACTCCACGGTCCACTTCTTCCTCGGCGTCCTCCTCTTTCCAGCACTCTGTTCCTGCTCGGTTCCTTTACCATCACCATCCTCATTATCTTATGATATACATCATCCCCTTCATATGTCGCCTCATGCTGGCCATCGCGATCCTCCTCGTTCCCATCATCACCTTGATATATCTATGTTACTGCTCTTCAAGTGCATCTTGCACAGACTCACATTCGTCATTATCGGCCTCGCTTCCACCCTAATACACTGTCCTAGTTCCCGCATGCTCCTTGTGTTCCTCCTCCTTCCTCCTCCTCTTTCTTATCCTCGGCTTCGTTCCAGGGCTCGTCATCGTACCCGTTGTTTTCCTCCTCTAGTTGGTTGTTCTTCTTCGTTATCCGAAATATGTTTGCACTGAGGTGGCTTTATTTGAGTTCTGCGTAATTGGATTCGTTGTCGAGAATTCCGCCTGGTGGGTGCCTTGCAGGCGCTTCGTGTGCAAGGCTGAGCTTTCCGGGTTTTCGCTTGGTGAGCCCCTGGGCCACATTTGGACCAGGGCCGTTGACAAGTGCCCCAGGGCCACAGTTGGGGTGACCTGTGGCCCAGGGCCACAGTTCGGGGGGGACCTGTGGCCCAGGGCCACACTTCGGAGGAGAACTGTGGCCCTGCCCCTCGGCAATTGTGTGGGACGCCCGTGAGGGCGCTTCATCGCCGCTTCGTGCGCTGGCTTGCTGCACCACACAGACTGCGCTGCCTGGCAACGATCAGACTGGGCAGTAGGTCCCCCCACCACCACCCACCGAGGCCCGGGTTAGCCACTCTCCTCGGGGCATCTTGCACGTAGCTATTCTGCGCGGCTGTTCACCTGAAGCATCATAGCCTTGAGTCGGGCCTGTCCCTCTACAGGAGGAGTATTCAATAATAGTGAAAAATAGTCTGGGGACTATTTTTCCTACTATGTTTGATTATTGTTGAGTTTGTTTTGATAAGTTTTATCTCACAGCGAAGACTGATAGGTTTCTAGTGGGGTCAAAAGAGAGCATCTTGACTCCCCAGGGGGGTCCGGGCAGGATCCGGGGAGAAACCGCGGAAGTCGTTTTAAGCAAACAGTTACACACTTCGTGGTCTTCGAGGTCCCAGAACTCCATCCCCGGGCCACATTCTGAATGCCCGGAGCCAACTGTAGGTCATTTCGTGGTCTTCGAGTTCGCAGAACTCCATTCCCGGGCCACATTTTGAATGCCCGGAGCCAACTGTAGGCCCCTTCGTGGTCTTCGAGTTCCCAGAACTACATTCCTGGGCATGATTTTGAATGCCAGGAGCCAATTGTAGGCCTATTCGTGGTCTTCGAGTTCCCAGAACTCCATTCCTGGGCATGATTTTGAATGCCCAGAGCCAACTGTAGGCACTTCGTGTTCTTCGAGTTCCCAGAATTCCATTCCCCGGCCACATTTTGAATGCTGAGGCAGGCTGATGTTGAGGCTGAGGCAGGCTGAGGCTGAGGCCGAGGCTGAAGGCAGACTGAGGCTGAAGCAGGCTGAGGCTGAGGCTGAGGCAGGCTGAGGCTGAGGCTGAGGCAGGCTGATGCTGAGGCAGGCTGAGGCTGAGGGTGAGGCTGATGCAGGCTGAGGCAGGCTGAGGCTGAGGCCGAGACTGAAGGCAGACTGAGGCTGAGGCTGAAGCAGGCTGAGGCTGAGGCTGAGGCAGGCTGAGGCTGAGGCCTGAGGCAGGCTGATGCTGGTGCAGGCTGAGGCTGAGGCTGAGGCTGATGCAGGCTGAGGCTGAGGCAGGCTGAGGCTGAGGCTGAGATGCAGGCTGAGGCTGAGGCAGGCTGAGGCTGAGGCTGAGGCAGGCTGAGGCCTGAGGCTGAGGCTGATGCAGGCTGAGGCAGGCTGAGCTGAGGCTGAAGGCTGAGGCTGCAGGCTGAGGCTGAGGCTGAGGCTGAGGCTGGCTAGGCTGAGGCAGGCTGAGGCTGAGGCTGAGGCTGAGGCTGAGGCTGAGGAGGCAGGCTGAGGCTGAGGCTGAGGCTGAGGCTGAGGCCGAGGCTGAAGGCAGACTGAGGCTGAGGCTGAAGCAGGCTGAGGCTGAGGCTGAGGCAGGCTGAGGCTGAGGCTGAGGCAGGCTGAGGCTGAGGCTGAGGCTGAGGCTGAGGATGAGGCTGAGGCGGAGGCTGAGGCTGAGGCTGAGGCTGAGCAGGCTGAGGCTGAGGCAGGCTGAGGCTGAGGCTGAGGCAGGCTGAGGCTGAGGCAGGCTGAGGCTGAGGCTGAGGTTGATGCAGGCTGAGGCTGCAGGCGAGGCTGAGGAGGCTGAGGCCGAGGCTGAAGCAGGAGGCTGAGGCTGAGGCTGAGGCTGAGGCTGAGGCTGAGGCTGAGGCAGGCTGAGGCTGAGGCTGAGGCTGAGGCTGAGCTGAGGCTGAGGCTGAGGCTGAGGAGGCTGAGGCTGAGGCTGAGGCAGGCTGAGGCTGAGGCCGAGGCTGCAGGCAGACTGAGGCTGAGGCTGAAACAGGCTGAGGCTGAGGCTGAGGCAGGCTGAGGCTGAGGCTGAGGCTGATGCTGAGGCAGGCTGAGGCTGAGGCTGAGGTTGATGCAGGCCACTGCGACTGTCATCGCGAATGCGACTACGACTGCGAGAACAGCAGAATTCTACAACTGGATTCTCATCTGAATCTTAAGGGGAATACTTCCAGATATGCTCCTACACATCGCTGTTAGGTTGCTTTGCCGGGATTTTGTTTTTTTTGTTCGTCCGAGATCCGCCTGTAGGGGGGCACGCCCCCGACTCAAACATAGTACCAGTAACGCCCCCCCTCATCCCCCCATCCCCTTCGAATAATGTAATCCGGCCGCAAGAGTTGGTGAAATAAGCGCGTTCTCTGTGTTCGCCCAGTATTGTGTGGCTCACTCGCGCAAGCCGCCACGCGCACATGTCAGAATCATTCAAACAATCAGTGTCTAACAGTTGCAAGTCATCCAACCAACAGTTGCCATATTGCTGCGCGGGCGCACCTGCCGAAGTCTTGAGAAAACCATAGGTGTTTAGCTATTCTGTCACGTGAGACCATGCAGGCAATTTGTGCGCGCAGGCCGAACATAATTTCAACCATAGCGCGCTCTCCAACTCTGACAAGCACTAGCATGCTGGTCACGCGCGCGCGTCTCAGCGCGCGCGCGTGTGTGGCGAAATATGTGTAAAACAATTGGTTTTCGAAGCATGGCATCACAAAGCTCAACAATATGCGAGCATCAAGTGGACTTGCAATACTAGTAGGTGCAACACCTAAAGTTCTGCGAGCGCGCACTTCCTCATCCACCTCATCGGCATGATCGCTGTGATCATCGTCACTGTCACTACTGCCATCGTCATCACCTTCATCGTCACCGTCGTCGTCAGCATCACCGCCGCCGTCATCGCCAATGTCAACGCCATCGTCGAACTTCTGCGAGGGCGCAATTCCAACCTCACCAGCACGATCGCCATTGTCATCGCCAGCGTCACCATTGCCACCGTCATGATCAGAATTGTCAGCCTCATCACCATCACCATCGTCGTCGTCGACCTCGTCCCCACCGACGTCATGAACATCATCATCGTCATCGTCGTCGTCGCCGTCAAGTTGAGTTTCACCAACAAGTTGCGGGTGGGTGAGTGGAATAATGGTTTTAACATTGGAGGTTGTTACGTGCGGATGTGACCAACATTGTTTGCACTACAGAGACTGTTTCATTGCATCGAATGTTCCGCATTGATGGTCCTCTTCAGAAAGGTTATAGATTTCACCCCCGTCCCGAGGGTGGACTTATCCGCCCCCCTTTCTTCGCATTGCAATTTAGTTGTGATCCTGTCTCATAGTTCATTCCCCATGCGAAATACAATCCCAGGTAATCTCGGTATACAAGAAGTATCATGTTTCTTGGGAACCCAGTGCATCAAGGAACGACATTACAGGGCAAATGTTGGGCCGTCACGCGCACGTCAAAAGTCTTCAAACCATTGGCTTTTTAAGAAATCAAGACACGGCTAGCCACGGTTCTTTCAGCCAGACATTGCCAGACTTCTGCGTGGGCGCACTCGCTGAAATCTTGGGGAAACCTTGCTGCTTGGCCGTCCTGCCGACGCAGACCATGCGGGCCGCTTGCGCGCGCACTTCGAAAGTGTTCATAGGGGGCCACACGCGAACCCTACCCCTACCCCCCACGATTTCTGAGGGGATTTCGGCGAAGTGAACCCCACCCTCCCCCTCAGAAATCGTGGGAGGTAGGGGTAGGGTTCGTGTGACAGCCCCCTTAGTTCAGCCACCATCGCGCGCTCACCTGCTCTGTCGAACAGCACCGTGCGGGGCCACACGCGCGCGTCCGCCGCGCGCGCACGCTGAACTCGTTGCAAGACCATGTTGTCCCCGCATTTGAGCCATCGCTGCAAAACCATCGCTGCAAAATCGTGGTTTGGGGTCTTAACCTTGAGATGACGGCGCCGCGCGTCACTCACCTACCCTCCATCCGCCCCCATCCCCCCCGCTCCTCCTCCTCCTCCTCCGCCGTCTCTCCCTCCTACATCATCAGCAGCATCATCATCCCAAACATCCTAATCATCAACATCATCATCATCAGCAGCAGCAGCATCAACATCATCATCAGCATCATCATCAGCATCATCATCAGCAGGATCATCATCATCATCACCATCACCATCATCATCATCATCGTCCTCCTCATCCTCATCGTCATCACCCTCATCAGCAGTATCACCATCAGCATCATCATCAGCAGCATCAGCATCCTCATCGTCACCATCATCAGCAGACTCATCATCATCGCCATCGTCAACCTAAGCATCAGCAGCATCACCATCACCATCACATCACGTCACATCACCATCACCAGCATTACCGCCATCAACATGTCATTATCATCAGCATCAGCATCATCAGCATCGTCAGAAGCAGCATCGCCATCAGCAGCATCAGTGTTATCATCAGCAGCATCATCAGCATCACCATCATCATCATCATCAACAACATCAACATCGCCATCATCAATGCCATCATAATCAGCAGCATCATCATCAGCAGCATCATCACCCCTGCACACCCTCACACGTTCTGTGGCACATGGGGACCTTCTCCGGCGGCCTCAGTGGCAGGGCCAACGTGCGTTTCTCACAGCCAGTACAACGCTTCGTGGCCCCATGGGGAGCTCCATCGAAGGCCACAGTGCCACTGTCCACATGCGGCTTCCCCACCCAGTACAACGTTTCGTGGCACATGGGGGCCCCACCGAAGACCCCAGTGGCAGGGTCCACATGCAGCTCCCCCACACAGTACAGCGTTTCGTGGCCCATAGCGAGCGCCATCGAAAGCCCCAGTGGGAGGGCCCGCATGCGTCTCGCCCATCCAGTACAGCGCTCCGTGGCCTCGTAAGGAGCTCCGCCGAGGGCCCCCTTGGGAGGGTCCGCATGCGGCTCCCCTACCCAGCACAGCGCTCCGTGGCCCATCGGGGGCTCCACCGAAGGCTCCCAGTGGCAGGGCCCGCATGCGTCTCCCCCACCCAGTACAAGGGTTTGTTCGTGGCCCCAGCCAGTGGGAAGGTCCGCATGCGTCCCTTCCCCACACAGTACAGCGCTTCGGGGCCCCGCGTCCCCCCCCCCCTCCCCGTACAGCGCTTCGTGGTCCCATGGGGAGCTCCACCGAAGGCCCCAGAGGCCGCGGCCGCATGCGTCTCCCCCACACCCAGTACAGCGCTTCGTGGCACATAGGGAGCTCCACCGAGAACCCCATTGGCCGCGGCCGCATGCGTCTCCCCCACCCATTACGGTACACCCCATCACGCGCTTCGGCGCCTCATGAGGAGCTCTACCGAAAGCGGTACTTACAATGCGATCGGAGGTGAGGGGGTGAGATCGAGGTGGAACGGAGAGCCCCCCACCGGGAAATCGGTGTCGGTTTCGTGTTCGTGTCGCGCGTGCGGGCGAGGCGAAGTTGCGTGGGCGGGCGGGGGGGATAAACCCTCCTCTGCTTAGGGCGCGGCGAGGACAGAAGTCCGCCTCTCCGGACGCGTGGCGGGCGGGTGGTGTCCCGATGGTGTCCCGCGATGTCCCGCAGTGGTGTCCCGATGGTGTTCTTTGGTGTCCCGTGGTGTCCCATGATGTCTCGCGGTGTCCCGTGGTGTCCCATGGCATACCATGAGATCGATGGTGACAGCGACGTTAAGATCGACAGTATGATGGATAGTGAATTCGATAATGAGCGGGACAGTGAGATTGATAGTAAGATCGATCGTGGGATCGATAGTGAGGGGGGTAGTGAGATCGATAGTGAGACCGACAGTAAGATTGATAGTTCGATGTATTGCGAGGTCGATCGTGAGATCGATAGTGAGATCGAAAGTGAGGGGGAAAGTGAGATCGATAGTAAGATCGATAGACAGACCGATCGTGGGATCGGTAATTAGCGGGATCGATATTGTGATCGATCGGGTGGGACGGGTCGTGTGATCGATTCTGAAACCGATTGTGGGATACATTGAGTGAGACGTTCGTTCCCTCCTCCCCGAACCTCCATATCACCCGAAGGGTGGTCGTATAGGTACGCACAATTGCACATTGTTGGATCCTTGGCCTGGGAACGTGTTCTTGCAATTTCAGCACAGACGTGTTCAAAAACGCTTGACACCCAAATGTTGTTCAATACAGACCTGTCAGAATATTTGAAATGCTTGACCATCCAGAGACGATGCCTAGAGGAGTTGTCTCGATCAGGGAAGTGGGCAGCACGCAGAGGAAGGGTCCCCCTTGGAGCGCTCTTGGGACACTCTTGGGTGATCTTGGGGCCGTCTTGGGGCTGACTTGGGCCTCTTGGAGCGTCTTGGGGGCCTCTGGGCGGTCCTGGGGGAGCGTCCTGGGTGCCTCGGGGAGCCTCTTGGGGCCTCTTGGGGGTCTCTTGGGAGCCTATTGGAGGCTTCTTGGGCGCCTCTTGGGGCCTCCTGGGCGCTCTTGAGGCGCTCTTGGGGGCCTGAGAAGCCCTCTTGGAGCCATCTTGGAAGAGCTCGAGGAAAGAAGGGGGTGTCCTTAATTAGCCTCCACCCTCGGGAGCCCCAACAGTCGCCTCTTGGGCCCCTCTTGGGGCGATCTTGGAGCGCTCTTGTGCGATCTTGGGGTCGTATTCGGCCTCTCTTGGGCCTCATGGGCCCTCTTGGAGCTGTCTTGAAGCCTCGGAAGGTCATCGAACGCAAAAAGGCAAGAATGCAAAGTTCATTCATTTCCCTTAGGTGCTTGAAGGAGTTTGGCCTCTCGGCGTGCGTCCTCTGTGGAAGGCTCCGTGGCAACTTGGAGCCGTCTTGGAACGGTCTTGAGGCTTCTGGGAGCATCTTGGGAACCAGATTGAGCCTGCTTGGGCTATCTTGAGCCATCTTGGAGGTCATCTTGGGCTCTCTGAGGCCCTCTTAGAGCCATCTCTGGCCCAAAAGGACCCTCTGACACCTCGCGAAACCCCCCATTCAGGTCCAGGGGAGGGGGGAGGGGGAGGGGTAAACCTCTCCCCGAAGGAGAAGAAGGGGGTTGGAAGAGAAAGCTTTCTAAACCACTCACGCCCTAAAAGGCTGGTGGGACTCTGCGGGCGCGCACTTCCTCATCAGCCTCATCAGCACAATCGCTATCATCATCGTCACTGCCCTCATTGCCATCGTCAGCATCGTCACCACCATCATCATCATCATCATCATCATCATCATCATCATCATCATCATCATCATCATCATCATACTCATCATACTCATCATACTCATCATCATCATCATCAGCAGCAGCAGCAGCATCAGCATCAGCATCAGCATCACCGCCTCCATCATCATCATCATCATCATCATCATCATCATCATCATCATCACCATCACCATCAGCATCAGCATCAACAACATCATCAACATCACCATCATCACCATGTCAGCATCATCATCATCATTGCCATCGTCGGGATCAGCGCCGCCACCGTCGTCGTCGTCGTCGTCGTCATCATCGATGCCGTCGCCCTCGTCAATTGCTTGCGCGCCGGCTCTTTGTCGTCTTCGCCGCCGTCATTATCATCATCATCATCATCATCATCCTCATCATCAGTACCATCGTCATTATCATCGCCAACGTCATCGGTGCCTCGTCGATCTCATCACCATCAGCTTCATCACCGTCACCATCGTCGTCTTCGCAGAACTCGCCCTCATCATCGTCATCATCACCACAAGCGTAATGCGTAACATCGTCTGTGTCGCCGACCATTCGGGTGTTTCCAACAAGTTGCGGGGGGGGATTGAGCGGGATGTTCGCACGAGCAGTGGAGTAGACGACTTCAATATTCACAAAAATTGGCTGCACCACAAGTCTTGCACCGCAATCCTATTCCGCAGCATCTAAGCCGCATCGACAGCGCAAGAGCTTACCTGCGTGGGGTCCACGATGACTAACATGATCATCCGCATCCTCGTCCTGCCCTTTCTGTTACTCACAATGATATATCCTCCCTTCTTCTGATGTCCTCGTCGGCCCATCCTTCTCCTGATGCTCATCCTCCTCCTTCTCCTTCTCCTGCCAGTCGTGGTCATTCTCATCGCGCGACCGTCTACTCACCATTATTTATTGTTTATGTCACCGGCTTTATACTCTACTTACTCACGTGTTCAATTGTATTGATTTTGTTCGCCGTCATTTTGGCCCATACGTTCCGTCAGGTGGTGTTCTCGCTTCGCAAGATGGCCTCTGCGATGTGTCACACAGTCGCCAGTTATGCTTGAGCTGCTGTCTGATGTCAGACCTGAGCGTTCCTTGCAATCCCCCGCCCCGAGGTTCGACGGAGGGCCATCGTCCCCGGCTTCCACAAGGCCCGGGAGGTTGCAAACCTAGCACACATAATCCAACCCGATTGTTGGGGAGCCAGGAGAGCGTGCCCGGGGAGCCAGTAGTCAAGAAAGAAGAACGCAGCCATAGTTTAGTAGTTTACCTTCTGGACACAGAGGAGACGGCGCGGGCGAGTGGGCAATGCAAAAGACGAGGGAGGGCAAGGGTGACGCGAGGAAGAGTAAAAAGCGGAGGAGGAGGTAGAGTAGGAGGGTGAGGGGGAGGAGGAAAAGGCGGAGGAAGGGAATGTGGAGAAACAAATAAGCAGGATTCGCAGGAGCAGGAGTAGCACAAGGAAGAAGAGGAGCAGGACGAGCAGATGATCAGCAGGAGGACGCGCACGAGGAGACGGGGGAGCACGAGGAGAATGGGAGTTGGATGAGGACGAGCAGCAGCAGCCAGAGGCCGCGACAAAAACAGGAGTTGGATCATGGGTGGTAGGAGAGGGGGCAGGAGGAGGAGCAAGATGGGGAGCAGGAGGAGGCAGAGCACGATGAGTTTCTCGGATCACAAGCGTTTGACGGCTGTGCCGGTCCAGCTACTCCGAGGGAGGATGAGCCCAAAAGCAGTCTGATTCCCCGGGGGGGAACAACCTTGAACAGGCACGTTTGCGCCTGGGTAAGCGTGCCAAAGTTCAGGCGCACTTCTGCGAGCGTTCGCCACCCCGTTGTGGAGAGGGAAGGGAAGCATTGGAAGGGGGCAGGGTGGGAGGGCCCATAGAACTTAGATTTTTGGCGACTATGAATAGTCGCGCCTAATATCGCGTTGTCGCTAGCATCCTGTGTTGATTTGGGCCCTCGTTTCGGATATGCATCACCCCGCGTTATCCTTTCCTCTTCCCTTCCCCTCCTTGTCCCTGCCCTCCGCAGTCTCTGCCTCGGCACACCCATCACACGCTTCGCAGACCCATAGGGAACTCCACCTAAGGAGTGGCTGGGTTGGCTGACTTGGTCCCCTTCATGCCGACGCACCCCTCACACGCCTCGTGGACCCACAGGGAGCGCAACCTGAGACCCCAGTGACCGGTATCGCATGCCTGGTCCATAGAATTCCGGCGCACTTCTCACACGCTTCGCGGCCCCATAGAGAGCTCGACCTGAGGCCCCGTGGCGAAGCAGCGGCAGCCCGCCGCGACGCCCGGCCAGAGCCGAGGGTCCGGCACGGTGGTGCCTTGGACGGGGAGGACGGGAGCTGGCAGCCGCCCGCGGCCGCCGCCGCCGAGCCCGCCGTTGGCGAGGCCACCAGGAGCGCTGGGCCCCCGTCCCCGCGCGCCGCCGCCGAGTCAGCCGCTGGAAGCGCCGCCGCCGCGGCCGCGACGACGCCCCCCCCCCCCGCCGCGCCGCGAACCCACTGCCGCGCGGACAGGTGCCGGCACCTCGCCCATCGGGACCCGGGGGGTGCCGGGGCCCAGGCGGGATATTTTTGCAACAAGTGCTACGGGCGCGACCGAGCCGCTGGCGGCGACGAAAAAGCTCAGCGGTGGGCACCCGGAGGAATGAGGCATGTCAAGCACTGCGGGAAGAGCCCCGACCCCACCTGGGAGGTGGACGCCGTGGATAGAGCCCACGGCCCGCGGACGGGCCCGCCGCCGCCGTAAGGCGAAGGGAGCCTCCGCCGCAGCCGCGCCCGAGCCTAGTCAGGCTCGGACGTCCACCTAAGCACAGGGGGCAACAGCGAACCGCAGAACCCTCCCGAAGGTTCAGCCCAGCGCAAAAACACTTCCTCCAGCGACGGGACGCGCCCGCCACCAGACCCGATGGACCCCGGGCTGCCCTGACGCCCCGACCACCGGCGGGAAACGAGGGTGCTGGCGCATGAGGCCTGTGCCCGTCGGCACCGCCTGATGGAGAAGGCTGGGCTGCCCGCCCTGCGCCCGGAGCCCGCGCCGTATTATCCGTTGGCGGCGAAGCGCTACTGGGAGTCGGGTACATGCCCCCGATGGCAGAGGAGCCGCCCCCCTCGGCAGCTGCCGCCCCCGCCCGGCGCGGCCGCCAACGCGCGCCCCATCGGGGGCAAGCGTCGCTGCCGATGCCAGCGGGCCCGCTGACACAAAGGCAAGATCGCGAGCCGACGCCGCCCCCAGGGCCCAAGGGCAGCCGCGAGGAGAGGAAGCCAGGCCGCCCGCGCCCTCCTTGCAGGGCGGACGTCGAGCGCACCCCGGACTTCGACGGTCCCCGACGCGGGTGGCCCCTCCCCACGTGTGCTGCTTGCACAGCGGAGAGGCGACGCGACGAGGGCGGCGCCACTGGGGCGCGCGGCCATGGCGCGCGCCCCGTGCGGCACAGGCCGCTGGCCGACAACAACAGGGGCCGCCCGATGCCGAACTGGGCCCTGGTCGCGCTCCCCGACGAATGGGGCCACGGCGCAGGCCCTCCGCGCGACATTGCGGACGAAGAGCACGCCAGAGATGCCTGAAGACTGGATGCACAATTACCGCCACGCCCGCTGATTATACCGACGGGCGGGTCGGGGCTGCGGGCGCCAACCCAGTGGATCTGCGGCCCGATCTTCGCGCGCGCCTGGGGGCGAGCTGCTCTTGCAGGCGCGGCCGCGCGCCCCGGGGGAGTGCCCGAGGCGGGGCCAGGCGGAGCATTGGCGCCGCAACGCGAGCACTGCGCAGCGGCCGTGAGACGGGCATACGCCGCTTGACATTGGTCTCCGAGCACGGCGCCCACGCGGGAGCTGCTCGAGGCCCTGGCCGAGGCACCCGACCAGGACGCAAGCGCACCAGACGACCTGCCCGTCGAGGAGGGCCCCGCGAGCCAGGAGGGCGCCGCCGAGGAGCCGGGACGGGCATCGGCCATGGCATGGGGAGGCCCCCAAGGGATTGCATCAGAGGGGAGGTCCAGCCCCTGGAGGGCGAGCGGGGCGCCAACGGCAGCAGCTTCGCCAACGTCAAGACGCGCGACGCAGGCCCATAGAGAGCGCCGTTCGCGGAGCTGCTGGAGCCGCCCGGGCGCCCCCCGTCGGTCGCCCGGGCCCCGCCCCGCCCGAGCGGCGAGCCCCCGCTGCACCCGGGGGGCGGTCTCAAGCGCGGCCGCCCTGCCCGACTCGGAGATGACGAACGTCGACGCGATGGGAGCCGCGCGGTCGCCCGACCGGGCAACCGCGCTGAGCGACGATTTCGAGCGCGCGTCGGCGGCGGCACCGCCGGCGTCGCTGGAGGAGTTGCCCGCCGGCCCCGACGAGCAGGTCGAGGAGAGGCAGGGATCGCTGCCAGCAGCCGCGGAGCTGCAGGAGGAGGCCGCGCCCGCCCGGGCGCGGGACGACCCTTGGCGACGTCTCCACGAACCCTCGTAAATTACGCTGCGCCCGCTGTCCTGCCAAGGGCGCGCTCGCCACTGCGCGCGGGAGGCGCTTTGTTCAGCGGGCCGCGCTAGCTCGCGGAGCTCGAGAGCGCCGAGGTCGCGTCGGAGGCCGCGGCTGCCAGCGCACGCCGGGTCTACGAGCTGGGCTGGAGGCAGCGGGCGCTGTTCTTCCGGATCAGGGATCGGCCGCTGGCCCCCAGGGGAGAGGCGGCCTCCGCGGCCGAAGGGCGCGAGTATGAGGAGGAGCTGCTGCTTCCGCGAAGAAGGCCCTCGAGACCGCCAAGAAGCGCGTCCTTGGCATCAAGCGCCAGCACGTGGCAATCGGCGCCGGCGAACCCACTGGCGGTCAATCCGCGGGCCTGTTCGGCGCTAAGGGGGCATGCGCGCCGAGATGGCGCCCGCCCGCGGAAGCTCCTCGCCGCGGCGTGCATGGCGAAGCTGACCCTGGCAAAGTACCGCCCAGCTGAGGTGCCCGACCACGCGGTGATCGCATGCACTGGCCACGGCCTGGTTCTTCCTGACGCGCGTCGGGGAGCGCGCCTGAGCGGCCAGGGCGCGACAGAGCGCTGGCCGGAGGCGACGCGGCAGCGCGCTGCGAAGGCCGCCCCGCGTCGAGCTTGAGGGCGGCCGACGAGGTCATCGCTTGGCTCAAGAGCTCCAGAGCGGACCAGTTGCAGGCCGGAGAAGCGCGCGACCACTACCGCACGCGCGAGGGGCTCTGCCCGGCATTGGCGGCAGAGTGGACGCAGCAGAATTTCCCCGTGCGTTCCACGACCGAGACTAGGCATCTTCCGCTCTGCCGCCGGCGAGACGGGGCACCGGTGAAACGCGGGCAGCTGCAAGGGCGCGAAGGGCGCGGCAGCCGGCGCAGCAGGAGACCCGACGACCAGGAGGGCCCAACTCTATGCAAAAAGTAATGTTTTCACTTTTTGCGACTAGTAACATAAGTTGCTCAGTTTTTGCGCATACTTGGTGCCGGCGCGCGACCGAAGATTTTCATGTATCTATTTGAATTTGCGCGATTATGCTACGGGTAGCGCGTTTCCGTTGGCTGGAATGATGATAACTCAACATGTCACCCGCACGTGCGGGTGACCATTGTCACCCGCGCGCGCGCGCGTGCGCGCGACGGCTTATTCTGCATTGCCTAAATTAAAAAGTTGACATGTGATCCCCAAAACTGAATTCGAAATGTCTGTGGCTCTTTAAGGAGGCCGACGGTCGCACTTGTCACCCGCGCGCGCGGGTGACCATGGTCACCCGCGCGCGCGCGCTGGCTTTCTGCAGTTCACAATAGAAAAATGACGTGTACTTCCAAAAACTGAATTCAAAATTTCCGTGGCTCTCTAAGGGGGCCGACGGCGACGCGCGTCACCCGCACGCGCGCGCGCGTTGGTTTTCTGCATTGTCCACAATAGAAAAGTTTACATGTAATTCCAAAAATTGAATTCAAAATTTCCGTGGATCTTTAAGGAGGCCGACGGCCACACGTGTCACCCGCGCGCGCGGGTGACCATGGTCACCCGCGCGCGCGCGTGCGCGTTGGCTTTCTGCATTGTCCAGAATAGAAAAATGACGTGTAATTCCAAAAACTGAATTCAAAATTTCCGTGGATCTTTAAGGAGGCCGACGGCGACACGCGTGTCACCCGCACGCGCGCGCGTTGGTTTTCTGCA